AATGGTGTAATTCATAGTCTAGACCAGATTTATTTTGTTTCCTTTTTATGTTTCTTGAACCTGTATCTTTAACTCTTTAACTTTTTAATTTTCAATATTATTCATATGTAGGGGCTTGCGCCCCTCCAGTTTTCTCAAAAAAAATAATAAGAGATTGTCCGGCAACACCACATGCGCAAGGTACTAGTAGTTGAATAAAATCAAACTAATAAGGGCAATTAAAATCCAACATGTCCTTTTGGCGAGCAAAGCTGACCCGGCTATTGCTGTAACCAGCATCTTCGAGGGCTTTGATAATGGCATCCAACATGTCAAGCATAACTTCCTGTGGTGTACCGTAAACAGGCTGGAAACACACAAAGCAAGCAGGAGTTTACTTGACAGCGATTTTTATTACGCCAAACATTAAGAGAATAGCGAATTAATATCAGTAGATATTTTGGCTATTACGCTAAATGGAGTAGATATTTTGGCTGCAATGACACAGAGAATTAGTCTTCGAGAAAATGTTCGATAATGGCAATTAATAATTAACTAACAAAACATGTCCGTGCATTGCAACAGGACTTCCTATGCAGTCATCTAGATGACTTGGAGACTTTACAGATCTATTAACTTATCGAAATTTGACTAGAACAACTTAAGTTGCAGGTTAGCGACGATGTCATGCCAGGTAATAAAGTTGTAGGTGAAGATTCCTGGCACACTGGCCACTGCTGTCTTGGAGTTGGAAGTGGGATGTAATCCTGGAATGTAATGTACTTCCATCGTCCCAGAATATCTGTCAATTTTGCTTTCCAAAATATTAATATATTAAAAAATATTAATATTTATGGTACATAATTAATATTATTGGAAAGATTTTTGAATCTAATTTTTTTAATAAATTTATTTGGAGATATAAATTGTCGGTACAGAAAGTGACCAGCTAATGAATATTTGTAGTTTTGCCGTACGTTGTGATCGGAGGTGGCCTAGCACTCAGTGACACAGGATATATACTGGTTCAGGCAACGTGCCCTACGTCCAGTCTAGGTCGGTCAATGACTTTATCCCTGAGTCCAGGTGCTCGAAGTCTGTAGTGGGGTTACAAACGAGAAGGAGAAAATGGGGGTGTACGAGAGGCCTGGTCGGGTCCGACCGGAAGGGCCAAAGGCGACCGAAACTCCACTATGAGCTAGGTGTTCAAGCGCGTGCTTGAGGAGTTCCAAGTTATTGATTAGTGAATCTAAACTTGAAGAAGAATCGTCCTTTCTCGTTTGGAGGGAGTGCATCCCCTTTTTATAGATAAAGGGGATGGCTTTACAGGTGAGAGTGAGAGAGTACGGATGTTTCTAAGCCTTGTTGCCCACGCCGACGAGGGTAGCGATGATGGTAGGCGCCCACAATACTGTTGACGTCACTGTAGAATGTCAGGTGCACATGGGAAGTTATGTTGGCTTCTTCAGGAAGGGTGGATGTTGGTACCTGCAAAATATTATTGGTGTGTGAGGAGCCCTACCCCGTGTACCAGGTATGGTGAACCCTGGCGTCCACTATTGATGCCCAGAGGTATGTGGGAGGCTTTTTGCCGTATGGAGCCCGATGGCGCCTACAATACTGTTTGTGTCAGGGCGGTTGAGGAGCACTGTTCCCGCAGGCGTACAGGGTATGGTCCCGGTATCGAGGTTTGACTTTGTGCACTGTCTTCTCCGTTTGCCCCTGGTCCCTTCCGAGCGGGTGTCCCCAGTCGGATGGCCCCAGTCGGCTCTGGCCGCGCCAGTCGGCTCTAGCCGCGCCAGTCGGAGAAGAGTGGTAAGCAGGCTTCCTACGGGGTCCCCGGTCGGAGACGCGAGGTCGGAGTAGGAAGTGATGCTTTGGGCCAGGCCTTTCCGATCGGGGGGACCGCCCGAAGGCGGTTGGTGCCCAAAGCGAATGCTCCGGTCGAAGAGGTGGGCGGGAGAGGTTGACGAGTGAGCGCCTGTTTTTGGGTAGACCTTCTGGTCGGCGACCGGACTGTCCCTCTGACCCGTCGTGTCTTAGGCTCTTGGGCCGGCCCACGATCTACATGCTGTTTTTCTGGGGCCGAACCCTGGCATAGAAGCCAGTCCTCGAGGGACCCTGGGTTTATGAACCCGACATAAATATTGCACGTACTTCCTATAAATTAAGTTAAACTTGCGGCACGGAAACCAAAAGCGACAGGTGATTTGGCACGTTACTGGAATCCATGGAAATCGTATCCCATCTTTGCTGAGCTGAACAGGGCAATCAATGACATCTGCTCCGTCATCAACTGCTTTTTGATAAGCTAGATCAGTGGACCCAGGGTAGTTCCCACTAGCACTATCGTGAGAAATAATTAAGGGCTTTCGTGCGGCTCAAATGTGACAAGGGGCAGCCAGCAACAAATAAACATAAACCAATAAATAATAATAGAAACAAATTAAAGGTGCTACATATACCATGATCAGTGTTGCTCTTGTTTAAATTGGTAAGACATCCTGCACATAAAAGAAAAAGGATGGATAAGAAGCTGGTACAATCCATGCCAATATATTTCATATAAACATTATGAACAGTTGATCATGCATGGTCTAAAGAAAAAGGCAGACAAAAGAATATAAGTGCTTAATTACCGATAGCCTCTGAAGTTGTGACAGGGAAATCGGTCAGTACACAATCAACTGAAAAGATGCCATCATTATCAATAAACGAGAGATATTCTGCCAGCGGATCATAGCTATAGTTGTAACTGAGCGTTAAATCATTGGCAAAACCAGCACCATAGATTTCCAACCCTGCATCATGGGCATTAGTGACGACTGAGCTGCATTCTTCGAGATAGTTATCATATGACACGGGGCATATGTAAGTCCTTGGGGACAATTATCCCAGATGCAAATGTCTTCAGAAACGTAAGGTTTTCCAAAAGAGAGCCAAAAGTGACATTCAGTGATGGCTCGAGACTGGATTCGTCCAGAAAGCAGAAAACAAGCTTTGTTTTGCTCAACTCTTCCAAGAATGCTGGTGAGGAAGCTAACTTCAGGCGACGAGATGTAATCGACACGTCTTGATGCAGAGATTATGTAACTCCTCATGCTTAGTCCGAACTGCCTGTAGAAACTAGAAACTGTCATGCTGGAAATGGAAAAGAGAGAGAGAGAGACGAGGTTCCCAACAGAACAGGGCCGGCTGGATACAATGCAATATACTGCTACATGGAGTGGAGTAGCCAAGATTCTTGTACTGTTACCTGTACATTGAGCCAAGTACTAGAAGGATTGAAATAGCTTAACATGTCTTCAATAGTGAGTAATGGAAACATTCCGTCGAATCTTGTCGTTCGAGGACTGATTGTCTACTTGACTGCTCAGAACATCACATGTGCACACATTTGTATCCGGATCTAGTGGGGGTGGGGTGGGGGGACTATTGAATCAGGGAAAAAGCAAGCGTGGCATAGGGATATGTACACTGCATGCCCTTAATTGTTGAGATCACGTAGACAACGTACCATTCAGGGGTGTTCCAACCCGTCGGCTTCTGTGCCGCAGAGACGACGGCCAACCACGCCAGCAGCATGAGCGAGGGAAGCGATGGGACGTAGTAGCACGCTCGGGCGCTCCTCGTTGGCCCCATTGACAACCGCCAAGAGTTTTCTTGTTGGTGCAATTGGTTGTTACTTTTTTCGGGTATTTCGCGTTGGCACACATACAACGCTTGTTTCGTTGGAGTTCGACACGTCGCTGCGCCCAAACGTGCACAGCAGTGCTTTGTTTCTGCATTAGTGTGTGTGGACTAGCTAATTAAAGTAGGAGCTAGCAGGACGACTGGCTGATGAATCGATATGATGTTAACAAATTCCATCAGCTCGTCACATCCACATCTGAGATTCTAATGGTGCGTACATGTATAGTCGCTACCATAATCGATCCTTCTGCCCCAGTTCTCGTTAAAAGCTCAAACCTGCATCAATAATGAGGTTAAACATCCACATCAGAATTCTACATCGGTGACACGTTCTACTCTCGCACTAAAGCACAAGCACTTTCTAGAGGCTAGGCGGAGGACAGCTTCGAGACTCGTACCAGGCCTTTCTAGAGGCTAGGCGGAGGACAGCCGCGGAGGTAGCCCGCTTCCAGGAGAAGCGAGTGCTCCTCGACGACGATGAGGACGCCGACGCCCTAGCCCTGTTGCAGCAGGGTGTGCCTGCGGATAGGAGGAGATTGCAACAGCCACAGTGGAGGATGCGAAGAGCATCAGGTTGGTAGGCATGGATGCGGAACTGGCCGTCAACGCGCAACTATCTTAAGTAGAATGCTCGGGGGAGGGGGCGTGTGCCCCGGCCCCCTCGACCCGAACGAGTTTTTTAAAGAGTGTGTATCCCTTCAGGGAAACTTTGAATACAAACCTCTTTATGCAAATTTTATATCCTACACTTATATATAATTTGACATTGTTGGTTAAAGTTTGTAAAAATTAACTTTCTATGTGCAATACATTTGTCTTTCTGAGACGGAGGGACTATGGAGTATTTAATTAGACACATTTCTGAAACACCAAGTAGATTTTTTTCTCCCCCACCCCCACATTTTGCTTGTACACTACTTCCTCTGGTCAGAATTGCAAGCCACGTCCAAAATGTATATCTGCTTTTCATTGTGCTGGATATTAAACTTTCTATAAAGAGCAGATTCAGTGCCGTAGGCTCCCACATGAGTGGGGTCTGAGGAAAGGATAAACCGAGACAAGTTTTTCCCCCGCAAAATCTGCAGAGAGGCTACTTCGAACTCACGACCTGGTAACTCAATGAGACAACTCTCACCACTGCACCAGGCATGCCCTTCGGATATTAAACTTTCTATGCTATCGAAAAATGACGATCCAATATAATCCTATCCATCAGTCATCGCTTATCAGTTATCACATGCAAGAATTCTACATCGGTGAGACGGTGACACATTCTACTCTCGCACTAATAAAGCTCAAAAGCACCTCTGTCAGACTATCACAGTTATTCACAATGCGACCAGCGCCATCACTGCACCGAGAGCCGCGGCGGCCGCATAGCACGCGACCCGACCGTCGTCGTCTCCGCACGCCGAGACTGGGGCGTCCGCCACTCCCGGCGAGCCGTACTGCGCCGTTACAACCGGATCCGGCTCCGTCAAGGGCTCACCACCGGGCGGCTGGGCGTGGAAGAGCGTGTCCGGGAGCAGCACCCGGTCGAGCTCGTATATCGCCATGGGCGCGTCCACGGACACGCTCCCGACGATCTTGGCGTGGGCCCACGTGGAGTGCACGTGGACGGTGCCCGCGTCGTAGGTCACGTTCACCGTGTACAGCCCGCCGGCAAGCGTCGTCACCGGCCTGGTCTGGCTCAGCCGCTCGAAGTCCGCGAGCTCGTAGTGCTTGGGCAGCGAGTGGTACATCATCAGGTTCTTGAGCTGCTGTACGGAGAGATCCGACAGCCCCTGCATGTCAGACACGCAAATCGATGGATCGATCTTGATGTCAGACACCCTTGCTCCGTATTTTACGAGTACTCTGCGATGGTTTGGTTGTTGACGTTACCGGCGGCTTGACGGCGGCGAAGGCCCTGTCGACGGGGACGAAGATGGTGATGCCCTGGTCCGTCAGGTACGCCTGGCTCTGGAACACTTCCACGAGGTTGGTCTGCTGCAGGTAGCCGAGGAAGGTGCGGAAGGGCCCGTCCAGGGTCAGGATCGCGGTGAGGTTGGCGGTGCGCTTGGCCTGTGGCGTAGGCGGCAATGTGCCGGTCATCTGCAGCGTCGTTGCGTGGGACGGCTTGACGAGCGGCCGATGCGCGCCGGCGTGCAGCGCAGACACGGACACCATCACGGCCGCGAGCAACGCCACGGCGCACTTCATGTTGCAAGCGTTCGAAGAGCGCAGTGCCGTAGGCAAGCCCGGAGGAGGCGAGTTCACGGTTAACTGCCGGGTATTTGCGACTGCACACAGGGGCGCGGGGGAGAGACGCTGAGATGCGATCTTTGTGCGAGCTGTCAGCTCTCGTTTCCTATTTTTCCAGTGGCTCAGAGGCCCCAGAACTGTGTCAACTGGTAGAAGATCCAATGTGCCTTGAGAGCTGAGAAATGTGCAGCTCTGGAGAGTGGATAGCCAGACGAGTCGTTAGAGTCCTCTCTTTATTAACCTGTGGAAATTGTCACGGTACAAACGAATCGACACGTCTGCAATGCAATACATAAAAGGTGCAACAGAGCCCACTCCTCACAAAACACTAACGACGCAATCGTGCAAATGAACTCGGCGTCTACATCAACAGAAATCCGAAAGACATCAAGGCCAAGTATCCAACGAGAACGCGACGTGCACCGAACCGGCACGACGAACTCTTGCTGTCTCCACGCTCGGTAGCGGCCGGCACGGCGTCGGTCGCGTCACCCCCGCCCCCGCCGGCGCGGGCGCCACGGCGGGCTCGGTCGGGAACACCTGCTCCGGCAGCAGCACCCTGTCGAGCGCGTACACGGCGACCGGCGGCGTGGAGTACACGCTGCTGACGAGCCTGGCCGCCCGGGTCCAGCCCGACGCGACGTGGATCCTCCCGGCGGCGTCGGTGACGTTCAGCGCGCACCCCGGCACGCCCCCGCGAACGTGGGCACGGGTCCCGACGCTGCCAGCGCCGCGAAGGAGGAGAGCGGGAGGTACCGAGGCACGCCGTGGCACAGCATGAGCGTCCGGAGCTGGTCCGCGGTGAGGTTGGACAGCGGCGCCGTCGACGGCCGCGAACGCCGAGTCCTGCGGCGCGAACACAGTGACGCCGCCCTGGTCGTGGTAGTGGTCGGTGGTGGCGTTGGCCTGGCTCTGGAACGTCCGGATCACGTCGGTCCGGGTGAGGTAGTCCAGGAACGTCCCGTATGGCCCCGCGAGGGCGAGCAGCTCGGTGAGGTTGACGTGGTGCGGCGCCGGCGCCGGCGCCGGCGTTTCGACTACCGGTGACGATGTCCGCTGTGACAATGTGGCCCGGGGCAGCGCGAGGCACATCATCGCGATGGCAAGGACGGCTGACTTGGGCTCCATTGCTGCCAAGCACTGCAGGTCTGCAGCTGCAAGTGCAACCGTCAGAAGTAACCGTGAGCAAGATGAAGGCTTTGCTGAACTGCAGACAAAGCTCAGGTCGTGGCGAAGCTGTGAACAGATCGCAGGAGAATTTATACTGTATATATGGGAGTGTGGTCAAACATAAGAAATAGTGAAAGCACCCGGGCTGGCATTTGGTTGTCAGTGTGTCGGTACTCGGTAAGTAGTAGCATGCCGTCACGCTTAACGGAAGACTTTAACACGATCGTGTTTGGGGAATGTTTTTCTCTGACGGTGGTGGTGAATTGGTGATCAACGTTCCGTCTGATACTGAGAATTCGCGTATAGGTTTAAGCACGGATTATCGAAACGTTGAGCGGCCAAATGATTACAGTAAGTGATTCGGAGGCGAGAAAAGCTGAATCTGTATTACAGTCAAGGCAACAGCAGTACTCTCAATAACTTGCATAGCAATGCCACATAATAAAATTAAACTCATAACGTCAGTATGCACCGACGCGGAGGTGAGAAAAGAGCGGGGTGCAGTCCAGCGTCAGTGTGGACCGACGCGGAGAGCTGCCAGCCTATGGCATCACTCCTCGTGCTCGGGCGCTGCATAATGCTTTTCATTGCGACGGGTAGCTTTGGCATGCCGCGAGTGAGTTTCTGAACTGATGATGCTGATTTATTATAAAAGAAAAATATTAGCCCTAACTAAAAACCAACATACGAACAGGACGCTTGGTTCCCTGTCTCGCTGCACTCATGCACGTCTCAATTCGCGGAGAGCTGCTAGCCCGTGGTATCACTCCACGTGTCCGGGAGCTGCACAATGCTTTCATTGCAATGTGGGTAGCTTTTAGCATGGCTTGGCTCCCCGTCTCGCTGCACTCCGCATCTATTTCGAACGACCAATGAAGTGGTTGCCATCCCTAACCACATTTACGACTTCTCTGGTTGATGGCGCTCGAACCGGTGGGCCACCTCATGGTCATCAGCCTGTTTGGCTGGCTGGACTAGATCGTGGATTATTTTACTGCTGGTTGGTTTGCCTGGTTTGGTGTGAGAGAAAAATATTGTTCCAGCTTATAATCCACGATCGTATACGATCGTTTACGGCCTGCCGAACATGAGCCTTGTTGCCGGCATGGCGACATGAAAGCGAGCACGGTGCGATGCACTCTCTCCATTCCAAATTGTAATTCGTTTTTAGATACATATACACTTATGTCTAGATACATAGTAAAACTTATGAATCTAGAAAAGCCAAAGCAATCTGTAATTTAGAACGAAAGGAGTAGAAGTTAAATCCGATTGAAATCCCAGAGAATTGTTATGTTGGTCCACTCGGCGGTAAAGCAAAAATGGCATTTTATGCCCTCTCTCATTCCAACATGTGGTGCTGATACGTGGGCATCACATGTTAAGTCCACGTCAACCCTGAATTAACTTACCACACCTGCTATCGGTTATGTGCCTATTTGGACCCACATTAGGATCTAAATCAAGTTCATGTATCTAAAAATACAATTTAAGAGTTTGTTGATGTATTTAACATCTCCCATCAAGTTTAATGTCCATTGGTAGATTTTTACTTAGAAAGAGCAAAATCTAACTGAATTCAAAGAGAATTGTTATGTTGGCACACTTTGACGCATGGCAAAAATGACATTTCTACCCTCTCTCACTCCTAAAATAAAAAAAATGAATATTATAATTTTGTTGTTTAAATGAGCAAAAAAAACACGCTTTTATAAACGTTGACAATTTGGTCATTTGTAGTGTGAAATGGTAATTCCATATATATAGGTTCGACGTGGCACAATAAAATTTGCCTAAAACAAAATTCCCATTGACGGAACACAGGTAGATGAATGAGCACATACGATATATTCAATCTGTCCCAAATTATAAGACGTTTTGGCTTTTCTAGATACATAGTTTTTGCTATACACATATATATACACTATGTTTATTAAAAGCAATATATCCAGAAAACCCAAAACAACTTATAATTTCGAACGGATGGAGTAATGGGTCTTGATTAGTGATTACCCTGTGCAGTTTCTTGTGTCGAGCACGTCGTGATTGAATACTGTATGTAATGCGCCTCGTGTGATCGGTCCCTCGCACGAAATTAAAAAGTATATTACTGCAGAAATACTTTTTATTTTAGTAAAGACTTGCTGTCCTCGTCTCTGTGAGGCAACCACAAGAATCCCAAATCTGCCGATGCTAATTTCCGGTAGGGAGATACGCGTACGCCCCCTTGCAGTACACCACGACTTGGCTTCGAAAATAGATGAAGGGTCAGAACTCAGAACATGGTTAGATTCTCGCAGGCCGTCTAGGAGAACTGAAGTGGAGAAAGCAGCAAATTCTTCTCACGGCGGGGGAGGCCCAGACGTGCTCGGCCGCGAATCAGCCTACAGCTCTCGGTGTCTCACTGTCCCAGCCCTTGCCGACACGCAAACGCAAATAGTCACATGGACAGCTAAAGAAAAGCCGGTATAGATCGATATATAGTAGTAGTACGTATAAAATAACACCATTTGTGCGTGTCACGGCTTAACAGATCATTAGACCAGACCAGCTAGTACAGTGAATCATGCGTGCGCAGCGCCGTGGCCGGGGGCGCACGACTTGGCGAGTGGCGACGGACGGACGGCCACGTCTGCCAGGTGCCAGCCAGCTGATTTCCGTTGTCTGTCTGCGCAGACCCGCACACAGAGAGACTGTAGGCGGTTTGTCGGGCCTACGTAATAAAACTCGGGCTCCCGTCCATATCAGCCCAATCAAACAGGCCCAATTTAAGGAAGCCGCTTAACCCAGCCCACACTTCGGCATGGCCGCATCCGCTTCATGTGTTCGGATTCGGATCGGCCTGTCTGTCTGTCTGTTTGTTTTTTTTTTTTAAACAAGGAGTTATCACAGAAACTTCTCCAAAAAAAAAGTTGTCACAGGAACGTTTCGAACGCAATGGTTTGCAAACAGAGTTTTTTGCGGTCACTGGTCTGGATTCTGGATTCTGGACTCTGGACGCATGCCAGTGGCGAAGCTAGGATAAATTATCCCTGGGGTTGGTACTTACCGGACTAACTTATAAGTTGGCATAATATAATTATAAAATACCGTGCATAATATCAAATTGATAAAATAAAAATTGTATATTGCAACAAAATAAGTTTTCACAACACAGTACCTCATCGAAACGATCACTGAACTCTGTAATCTGCAAGTCAATAATTGGGGGTAATTTCCTTTTAAAGAATCCTTCTAAAAAGCTTTGGTTACCTATGAAAATAATCACGCAATAAAAAGTAGGCACATACTAAATTATTAATATGTGCAAGCAGCCATGCGTATACTGTTAAAAGTCAGTACTGAAATGCAACTATGCAAGCTTAAGCTGTATAGATACCTATAACATCTTGCCAGAATGAAAGAGCTAGAGCATGTTGTTTGCTGGAAGCCTGGAAGAGTGGAGCGCAAACGTCGTATCCGCTTTCTATGTTCCAATTGTATTGCTGAAAAAAAAAACTTAAGACATCACCTTTCAGACTTGATTGTTGATTACCGATTGCAGAATTGGATATTTGGGTTACCTGGACAGCAGACGGGCAGGGAGAGCTTAACGCAGCGGCCAGCGGCCACCGGCAAGTCGTCGCTGAGATTTGCGTCTTGAGACGCGTGGTCGAGAATGAATACTAAGGAGCAGCTGGTTGGTTTCTGAATTGATAAGCTCGATTAACGCTGATTTATCATGAGAGGAAACTGAAACCAACAAACCAACAGTCGAATGAAGATCGGAAGATGAAACCGTGATTAGGGTTAGGCTGTAGCGGAGGCCAGAGGCGACGTTTCGGCCTTCTGGGCTGCTGTTCCATGAAAGGAGAGCTGGGGCTGGGCTATTGGGTGTGCTACTGGGCTTATTCTTGCTCCTTGCAAACGATGGAGGGATGGGCTGAGGCATTGCCGCGATGGAACTGCTGAGCCGCCGGGGGGTCGCACGTAATTTTTGCCGGGGTCCAACGTGGCCAAAATCCTCTGGCTATCAGAGGTCACGACAAAATCGTCGGGGTCGGCTGACCCCGATACCTCAACGTAGCTTCGCCCCTGCGACGCATGCTGTTGCCCGTACATACGCGGCACGCCATGATGATGCGGCGCAGAAACGCACCGTATGTTGGGCGTGGCTTTCAGTTGACACAGTGAAGGCGTGAACGAACGACGAGAGAGAGACAAAGCCGGGAAGCAAAGCAACATCGAGCATACTTGTCCATGGACCATCGAGCATACTTCTTTGAGACCTGCACCTGCACGTGACGGTGCCCTTCGGTTTTGGCTCGATGCCAACTACCACGCAGTGGCGATGGGTGCCCAACATACTACGCCGGATTCACGATTTGTTCACACCATTTGCATGGCGTTCCTTTTGGACGATGGGAGTATGTGTCGCAGTACTCTTCATTTTGGAGGAAGTTTAAGCATGGATGCAGGGTAAAAACTGTCTCAAACTTAGCTTAGTCACAGACCCGGAACTTGGCACGGCCCTGGTTTTTGTCACCCGGGAACACAAGCCGATCAGCCCCTTGTTTTTTTTCTTTACTGCAAGCTCTTTTTTTCCTCGGCAACAGGAACAGGGCGTGAGGGTCCATCCTCTTAAAATGACATGCCTGGAAAGGTAACTCAAGACGGTGCAGTTTCCGTATGGTAACGAGGTGAGATTGCAGCACTGGACCGGGCTGTGCTCCTCCGTACTGATCTGTGGCCATTTCAGTTCGATCGGACACTCTGCTGAACAATCTGAAGACGAAACATCAACATTTCCCTGCTGCATCCTCCATGTGGAGGTCGTTTATCGTTAACTGCCTGCTCCTAGGATATGATCATCATTTAATTAAGAGTTCTTTTTTTTTTTCGGGGAGACGCCTCCCAACATGTCATGTGACGTCCAATCAAAAAAAAAGGACACCGGCCGGCCATGATCAGGTACAGTCAACACATATGGCCCCGTTCGTTTGTCTGAAAAAAGAAAAAAAACACTGTAGCTACTGATTGTGTGAGAGAGAAACACTGTTCCGGCTGAAAGTGCTACAGTAACCCCGTGAGACACTTCTAACCGATCCAGCTGCGGCCGCGTGAACAGGGCCATACAGGAGGGCCCTGATCTGCCACCGGCCAATCAATCTCGCGCACCGCCACCGGGACCTAATGATTTCGTTAGCGCGTTCCGGTTCCGTGACGACCTGCCTCCATCGGTAAGCTGTACGTGCACAGACATTTGTGCTGCTGCTCAGCTGTACGGCTGTAACACTTTTGTGCAATGGTCCGATAGGCAATAAGCTCAGTTCCACGCAGGCCTAGCGCTATCATCACCCATAATCTGAACGTTCCAAAACCTGAAAGCCGTGTGGTGTTTGGGTTTGATGACGACAAGGGAACGGAGTCCGTAGCACTGGCACTGAATCACTGATCCAGTAATCCACCGGCCGTAGCGTCCCCATCAACTAGGATGAGCTATTCAGCTGGCACAAATGGACACGGGGACGAGCGAGCGAGTGCTCCGTCGCCGTCCACGAGCGCCGCGCCGGTAAGTTGAGTCGTTTTCCGTACGCGCTGCAACGCATCTGCTCCTCAGCCTCAAATGGCAAAAAACCGTGAGGGACGAGAGTACGAGACCGTGTGACTTGTGAGTATGCGTCGTCACGGTCATGGGCAGCGACTAGGCACCGTCAGATGGAAAAATGGCACTAGTACTGCAACTGCAGTTGCGAGAGCTGTCGTGCATTAGCTGTATATCTGCAAGGGGTGCAGTTCGACCCCTCCTAAAAAGTTGATCCGCTCCTCATTTTAGCCGACGGAGCAAACCGGTTCGACCCCAAAACCAAGAGGAGCGACAGGGTCACGACCCGTCCGACCCCAAGGGTCGACCCGTGAGCGTGCAGTACTCTTCTCCGACTCTCCATCGCCGCACTTCTTCGTCCAATCGCTCTCCCCGGCTCCCCGGCGCCCTCCCCGCAGCCATGCTCCCCGTGATGCTGTGCTCCTGGAACTTGATTAGGCGGCAGTGCATCTGCTCGCCGTCGACGGAGGTGCCGTTCATGACCTCCTCGCCGCTGGTCGGGTCGTCCCCGTCGTGGCAGATGGACCGCCGGCCGTCGTCGACGAGCACCAGCCCTGGCGGGCAGCCGCCCTCGTCCAGAACGTTCCCAGGTGGGTGCGGACGAATCACCCTGACGAGCTCGAATGAGTCGTCGCTGGCGTGCAGGTACAACAGTGCGCTCCGGAACGCAGCGCAGCGCGCCGCCGAGTAGAGCTGGGACTTGGGCCAGTGGCATTCGAGGGTGGGTCATGCCACGGTCTTTTAGCGTGATCCGAAGCACGGCACAGTACAAAATATTTTGGGCTGTGCCGACACAACACGAACACAAGGGTCCACATTTTGGTCCGTGCTTGACTGGTACGGCACGAAAATAGCACGTACACACATCTACAACTATGCAATCTAGTTTTCTAGCATTTGTTATACTACGTCTCATATAATTCTTGAATAGATTATGAAAATCATTAAACCTTTCATGAGAATAGTACACGCAAAATATATTTTTTTATATCACGAGCGAAAAAAGATTAGCAGAGATATTTTGAGAGTCATATTTGGGCCGGCACGACCCAAAGACGTGCCATGGACCGTGCTTGGGCCGAAGAAAATATTTGCCGTGCCGTATTGGCACAGGCCGACATGCCTCGCGTGCCGACCCAGACGGCCTGGGAAGGAGCCCTCGATGATGCCCTCCCCGCAGTCACGCTCCCCGGCTCCGACGAGCAGATGCTATGCTCCCCGTGATGTGTAGACGCGTGAGGTTTGAACCTCGGAGCACCGTGGATCGTTTACATCCGCAGGAAAAGAGTTTCGGGTCGACCCTGATCCTCGTTTAAACAAGAGCGGAGCTCAGGGTCGGGATTATGGGCGCTCCGGTCCGCCCCCCTTGCAGGCATAATTAGCTGGGGTTCTTCTTTTCCTTGATGAAGCTCGTTCCTCCTGCTCTCCATTAGCTGGAGTGTTAACTTGCAGGTCAAACATGACAGGGTGGCCGATTGCCTGCTTGATTTTTCCCGGATATTATAGTCTTTCATGGGAGCTGAAGGGCTGGGAAGGAAATCCAACGGCCGTCAGTCCGTCACTGTTGCGCTCTACCTGGAGGCTGGAGCACTTGGGTCTTGTTTAGATGATTGTTAGGAATTAGAATTTGGCACTGTAGCACTTTCGTTTGTATTTAACAATTATTGTTCAATTATGGTCTAACTAGACTCAAAAGATTCGTCTCGTAATTTACAATCAAACTGTGTAATTAGTTATTTTTTTTATTTATATTTAACACTCCATGCATGTGTCTAAAGATTTGACGTGATGGAGAGAGAGTGAAAAAACTTAGAATCTAAACCAGGCCTTGGTTGGTTGCCGTTGGGGCTTTGTGCTGTTCGTCATGGGATTCCTGCCCACTGGCCACCTGCGCCGCTCATGATCCGTGGGCCGTGGCAGCGGCCGAGCAGGCAGAACATTATTACTCCCTCGACCTGTTTTTTGGCCCCGTGAGGAGGCAGAACATTTCGTGGTATCCCGCGGCCTGATTGAGAGAGCTACCTGCTCTGCTCATCATCTGGCACTTCCTGCGCGACTGAACCTGTGTGGTGTAGTCCGGGCTCCGGGGACCGTGGGTGCCGATGAGCTGCGCCCCGTTCCGGCAGTTTCGCTACTTCCCTATGCGTGGAACCCGTGTGGAATCCCGCCGAAAAAACGCCAGCCGACCGGACCGTTCCGTTCCGCCCGGATCGACAGCCGCACGCGCACGTCCAATTTCCGGCCCCAATCCCGCTGCGGGCGGTGCTCCAACGTGCGCGTCCTACTCCCAAATCGCAAATTCTTCGGTTGCGGTGCTGGTCTGCTGGACGCCTGGAAAATGACTGCTGGGTGCTGGAGCACCTGCACGGGGAGGCGGGGAGCGACGCCGACGCGAGCGCGGCGCACCGATCGGGCGACGGGCGGGGCGCGTGGGCCTGCTCGACCTGCACTGCACTGCACTGCACGTAGGGGTTATTCCGCGGGGACCCTGTGTCAGGGAGCTGGGTCGAGTCCAGGCCCAGGCTGCCAGGCGTCCAGGTACTCCTGCATCGTCTGATCATCTCAGTTCTCAGCTGACTGTAATCGCAATAGGAAGTATCCGATGCTTTGTAGTACCAGTTATTATCGATAGAGTGCTACAGTACATGGATACTTACGCTGTGATTAGCTATGGTTTCTTTGTACCTATAGCAAGATCAGTTCGAGCAAGCCACCTAAACAACTTAACGCTTTGCATCATGTCTCTTATGGCCAGCATATAGCACTACTACCCTTACTAAAGCATAACGTAGTACACTTCGGTAAATGATGAAGAAAATGGTAGTGGTACTCGTAATAACGAGCAAACAGTCCTGGTGGCATCAATGGAGGCTGGAGGCAGCTGTCTCATTATTTGACCACCACTACGAGTACCCACCAGGCCACCAGCAGGCCACCACCACCTTCCCCTGCTGCATGTTCACTGCCTGCCTCTCCTCTCCCATCCGGCCATCCCCTCCCCTCTCCTCTCTTCCAAGCTCCAACGCAGCTCACCACTACTTCCCCTCATCTCCAGTTCATCGTCTTCGTCTGCAGGGCTTAAATACAACAAAGCCATTGCGGCAGCTCAGTGATTTCTCCATCACCGCTGCCTTCTTGGTCTCTCGGGGCTCGGCATTGTCGGTCCACAGCGCTGCTTCCGGAGCTGGGCGCTTGCGCTGAGGGCTGAGCTCTCTGCCGGAGGCAATGAGGAGCGGCCGTGCCTGCTCCGTTCTTGTGTCGCTCCTGCTGCTGTGGCTGGGCGTCGCCGCCGCGCAGAAGGCCTCGTCTTGGAAGACATTGAGCGGTAAATCCTTCATGCTCCTCTCCTGGGGTGGGGAGAAGCTCTCCCCACCAGGTTTTTTATTACTGGCCCAAAACGCGGCCCACGAGATTAGTTACAGGTTTACAGTGCTTATGTAGTTACTGTGCTTATGTAGTTACTCCCCCTTCTTTTGAGAACAACTGTTTCGTTAATCGCACGATAGCCCCGTTCGTTTCGTTTCTCGTCCATTCTAGCATTGCCGGAATCCCAACACTCAGCTGCAGATTTTGGGTTCTCGGTCAGGGGATTGTAAATTTGGGCCGACGGCCGACCAAGATGTTTCCCCCCCTCTTTCTGGTCGATTAGCCTTTTCAGCTGATGTTCATGTCGTTATTACTTGGGACCTGCTGCCGGCTTTTCGGACGAAGGATCGGCACATGACTGTGCTACTAGTATCTCTGTAGTCTGTACACCTTTATACAACCTTGTACCATTATCTAAAAAAAATACATTTTTTTATCGTGTCGGCGAAACATAGAGCGTGATCTCCTTGAGGATTTATCCTACCTGCCTGTCCCATTTTGCATAACGAATTCTGCTTCTTGGATGGATTCCAGATCGGAATTAGGATCCATCCATTTCAGGCATCCTCTAGGCTAACAAATATTCCCAATACATTTTTTCAGGCAAGGCTCCAGCAATCGTAGCCAAGGGTGGATTTTCCGGGCTATTCCCTGATTCAAGCGAATATGCTTATCAATTTGCGCTGGTCGCTAGCTCGCCGGATACAATACTGTACTGCGATGTGCGGCTGACCAAGGATGAGATTGGCATTTGCCTGCCGGACATCAAGATGGATAACTGCACAAACATTCCAGATTTCTATGCGCAGGGTCAGAAGAGTTACCTCGTCAATGGTGTGCCTACCTCGGGATGGTTCTCGGTGGACTACAATGGCACCGAGCTTGGGCAAGTGACTCGTAAGTGATATCATATTGTTCTAAGTTTTTTTTTTCATCGAAGATGCAGGAGAGTTGCACTTCATTGCCCTTCATTAACACCTTGTTTGGATGCATGTGTATCTACTTCAATTCACATGTGTTGGAGTGGATTGGAATGAAACTTAATTTAATTCCACTCCAATCCACTTCAACACATGTGGATTGAGATGAATACACGCGCATCCAAACAAGGCCTAAGAGAGAAAAAAGTATAAAGGAGGGATATGAACCCCTCCTGGTTGGTTTATTTGTCTAACCCATGGGATTGTATATGTTGAGCAGTCATGCAGTCAATCAGTTCTCGGACGCCTAGATTTGATTCAAATTTCTTTCCACTACTTGCTGTTGAAGATGTGCAGTCCAAATTCAAACCTCCTGGAATTTGGCTCAATGTTCAGGTACAAATAAGAATCTCATTCCATAAGGTAGATTACGTCGGGGCTCTTTTCTGCTGTCGCTGTAACCTCCTCTTAATGCCATTGCAGCACGACAGTTTCTACAGCCAGTTCAACCTAAGCATGAGGAATTATATCATTTCTGTATCTAAGCGTGTTGTTGTCAATTATGTCTCATCACCTGAAGTGAGCTTCCTCGCCAAAATACTTGGAAGAATTAGCAACAAAACAAAGCTCGTGTTCCGCTTTCTTGATGAGAGCACTCTCGAGCCATCTACGAACCAGACATATGGTTCCATGTTGAAAAATCTTACATTTGTCAAGACATTTGCATCTGGGATACTTGTCCCAAAGAGTTATATTTGGCCTAATTCACTAGATAATTATCTGCAACCATATACTTCAGTTGTCGACGATGCTCATAAAGTAGGGTTGGAAATTTATGCTGCTGATTTTGCAAATGATTTTCTGCTCAGTTACAACCACAGCTACGATCCCTTAGCAGAATATCTCTCATTCATTGATAATGATGTCTTCTCAGTTGATGGTGTACTGACTGATTTCCCTGTCACAGCATCAGAGGCAATTGGTGAGTCCTTCTGCCCCTTTGTGTGTGTGTGTTGGGGGGGGGCAAAAAAACACATATGCTTCTCAAATTTTAGTGCATTTTTTTCTTTCTAGGAGGCAAGACACCAGAGGACCTTACTCCGTACTTCTGTTGGTATATTAGTATAAAAAACTGAAAGGAATCATATGCGTACAAGATAAAGGGAAGAGCATACAGGCTCTGGGTCATTTAATTTGTGTTAGACTGCAAAATCATAAATGATAGAATGTTGCTTTTATCTAATGGGCTTCATAGCTTACACATCTATAAACTGTATGTTTCACATCAAAAATATCTGCTGCATATCATTCCAGTTTCCAAAAGCTGCAGCCTCCAAACAGGGTGTGCTTCTTAACTTTTGGTTCCAAAGTATCTTTTATGTGCATTTTTCTTTAGTCCCTGATCAACTGTCATACTATATCTGATAGATTTGAATGGATTGTAGCTTCTCATCCTTGTTTTACATTTGTATGTGCAGGATGTTTTACCAATTTGAACAAAAGCAACAATGATCATGGTATATCTAGCACTTTTGTCCCTATTATGTCATGGTTTATATTTATTCGTTGCTGACCGCCCTTCTCACATTTTTACTGCAGGAAAGCCTTTAATTATTTCCCACAATGGTGCTAGTGGGGATTACCCTGGGTGCACTGATCTAGCTTATCAAAAAGCAGTTGATGATAGTGCAGATGTCATTGATTGCCCTGTTCAAGTGACCAGAGATGGAATACCAATATGCATGTCTTCCATTGACCTAATGACCGATACTACTGTTGCAAGATCGCAGTTCATCTCTCAGACTTCCACGATAAAGGATATTCAGATTGCACCAGGGGTTTTTAGTTTCAACCTCACCTGGGATGACATTGTAAAGAACCTGAAACGTAAGTTGAATTGAAATGTTTTATGATATTAGCATGAACTGCAAAATATATTTGGAGTGCTAGGCCAATATGAATGAAATGATCTTAAGTGATCTATTTATTGACTCTTGTTGGCTCGTTCTGTATCTTGTTAAGCTGCCCGACAACTTCGCTGTCCTTCTATTGCTTACTTCACTACCAAATTACCACTGATCGTTTACTAAGAGACTAATTCATTTCCATTGTTACAGCCAAAATATCCACCCCATGGACCAACTTCGCATTGGACCGAAATCCGAGATATAGGAATGCAGGAAAGTTCATGAGGTTATCAGACTTTTTGGACTTTACAAAAGATAAAGATTTGTCTGGAATCATGATCACTGTAGAGGTGAGGAGCTGAGAATATATTTTATTGATTTCATTGCTTTGCTATGGTGATATTCGCTGCCCCTTTTGTTCCGTCGTGCCATTAGTTTGAACTGCCATGCTTTGAGCATTTGCTCCACATTTTAGTATTGAAGCATACCAACACAAATCAAACCTGTAAAATTCAAATTCTTACTAGTTCCAGCAATATCTTCACGCTTGAATTAACTTTGATATTCATATTTTGCAGCATGCTGCCTTCATGGCAGGAGAACTTGGGTTTGACATGGTCGATAATGTTATCAAAGCCCTTGACGACGCTGGTTACCATGACCAAACTGCCCAGAAAGTTATGATTCAGTCAACCGATAGTTCAGTTCTAGAGAAGTTCAAGGAGCAAACAAAGTACGACCTTGTGTACATGATCAACAAAGAAGTCGGGGACGCTGCACCTTCCTCGCTCGCGGACATTAAAAAGTTTGCTAGTGCCGTTTCCGTTGATACCAGCTCTGTCTTCCCTGAATCCCACTACTTCACAGTGTATGAAACCAATCTTGTCCAGACACTGCAGACAGCTGGCCTCTCGGTCTATGTTTATACTCTTATGAATGAGTTTCCGTCTCAGCCATACGACTTCTTCTCAGATGCTACAGCGCAGATCAATGCCTATGTTAAGGGTGCTCTAGTGGATGGGCTAATCACGGATTTCCCTGCTACAGCTCGAAGATACAAGGGTAAGTTTATGTTCCCTTTTTGTGTATCCTGCATCCTTGACAGTACCATGTTTAGGTCACAAAGCATCCACAATACAAGCAGCTGTCTGTACTCACATGATGAATTCCATTTTGCAGTGAACAATTGCATGAACATGGGGAACAGCACGCCGAATTTCATGGCCCCTGCTCATCCCGGCGATCTCATACAAATCATCAGCAAGAGTGCGCAGCCACCAGCATTGGCTCCCATTCCGCCCTTGACTGAGTCCGACGTGGCACAGCCGCCTTTGCCTCCTGCCAGATCAAACAGCAGTACAGCTCCGACACAATCACCCGCGAGCAGGACGCATGCCTGTGCTGCTCACATCCCAGTCCTCGTCACACTGGCAATGCTTTGTGCTTGGCGTTCCCTGGTCTGAGCTTGCAATGCAGGCCACCCTCGTCCCTCGAGCTGGAGCGCCGATCTACTAATCAGATATTCTTCCCCACTTGTAGCAGTAGTTCATTTGTTCAGTGAATTTGCATCTAGGGGCTTGCGCGGAATGCATATGACACTTCTGTGTGAGCTGTCCCTGCTGACGTTCCGGTACATATATGTGGGATGGGTAATATATTCTCCGAGAATTTCTTCTTCTCAAGGCTATTGACCATGTCCTCACAAAGAAAATGCTATGGTCATGTGTAAGCAACTCAGATTGCATGTCTGAGCCTATGAGCCGTGAGCCCGTGACTGTTCTGTTCTGAAAGGCTGAGAAATATGAAAACTGCGACAACCCTCCCTGAATTAGGATGGCGTGTGAAATGGTCGGATGGATGTGTTTCCGGATGGACTTGTGATCTCTTACTAATCTCAATAGGTGTGTTCTTTCATGTGCACCGTACTATGCAACTGCTGGTATTCCTGACCTGTCAGTTGTTAAATTGGCATACAGTGTCGATGAGTTTTTCTCTAAGCTTCGGGGTTATATTTGCCCCTGCAATCCTACAGTCTACTGATTCGGAGGCCACGTTAACCCTCATCCAGGTCGTTTATTTACCCAGAGCTTGCCGGAACTTGCAGTTGAGTTAGGTAGGCCTCAAGCCTCATTATAGTCAGACCCATCTGCCACTCTACCAGTGAATTAGTGATTCAACTGCAGAGGAGACTCATCGTGCTTGCCAGTTGCCACAACCTAATAGAAACCGCCGGTCTTGGACTGAATGGCCAAGGCGAAGGATGGCATTGCATGATGTCCATGGTAACCAGAGACCTAGGCGCCTAGGCCTACCAAGGCTACCAGGACCTCGATGGGCAACTAGTCCAGTCATGACCCATCTTTCGATTGCCGAAAACGACCTGCAAATCTGGTTCTGATCTTATCACCAGCATTGTTCATGATAAGCACAGTGATGGACAGCCACATGCACGTGATAAGGAGATGTTCGGTCTGCGCCTGGTCCCTTTTGAGGGTAAAATCTTATCCTCTTTTTTTACTTGTGTGATCTCCGTCATCTTCTTTTCCTCACAAAAGGTCAGCAACTTGGCCATTAACCTGCCAGTGCCATGAGCCATGGCCCGCTTGTTATCCCTTCGAAGCGCCGGGAAGGATGGATAGTGCCAGTGGGTACTCCGGCCGTCACCCGTCAGGCTTGCTGTTTGCAGCCGTTCCTCTGACTTGATAGCTTGATCTGCAGCTGTCTCGCGGTAGGGCGCCGTTGCTCTGTTGTTGGTATGATGATCTGAGAACTGATCTGACTGTCTCGCGAAATCAAGCATGGAGATCCATGTGCTAGCTGCTAAGTTTCGAACAGAGCATGGAGCAGAAAAGGGGACACGGACCAAATTCTCCAGCAGAAGAACATGTCAATTACTCCTTTCCGCTTCATGCTCTGCTCCCTTTCTGCTTCATGAAACTAAGCAGAAAGTCAGTTTGCGCCAGCCGCTCGCCGCTGACGCCCATGCTACCTCCGCTCTGCCAGCATCCTCGCCGTAAGCGAGGACGGCGCCACACGCCATGACGACACCGACAGGGGCGCTCCGCTCTGGCCACGGCGCCAGGCGCCGGCGCATTTCCGCGCGCCACGTTGCCGGATATCGCGTCCGTCCCGTCGCCGAGCGCGCTCTGGTCGACCACCTTGCAGTCCGCGGCCGACGCGGCCCGTGGCCGCCGTAGGCCTTGCGCCCTTGCCACACAAGCGACAGCACGTCCGACAACCGATATAGACATAGGATTATAGGAAGCCAGGAAGATCAGATCAGCGACACAAGATTGCTGGACTGTCAAGAAATCAATTTTCCTTTTGGCCCTCTCTCCTCTGCGCCCAAGATCACACATATGCATGCCAACACATGTCATGTTCACTTGTGTGTCAACAGACTCGTGAGAACATATGGGAGGGAAAGCTGTTATCGGATTGATCTCACTTGTAAGCTAACGAAACACACATGAAAGGCACAAAGGCATGGTGGGGTGCTGATGGGAGAGGGACGAGCACTCGCTAAAGTTGAAAAGGCTTTGAGGTTAGTGGAAGAGGGATGGTCACAGCCGAAAACAACAGCTCTGCACCAGCCAGCAATTAGCGCAGGATTTTCAGGCTCTCTCACGTACGATCGTTTTGCCGGGCTACATAGGAACAATTTAATCTTTTGGTCGCACCAGGCACATGTTGCGTGGTTTGCCATGTCGTATACCGCCATGTTCGCTCGAACTTATCAGCCTCACTTATCAGGCATCGAACAATATTTTTCTCTAAAAAAAATCAGCCTTTACAATAAATCAACGTGACAAGATGTGACATGCTAGAGGGTTTAGGAGAATTTTATTTAAGGTCAATAAGATGCTTAAAGAGTTGACAAAAACTTTTAACAAGGTGTTCTTTAACGGAAGAGCAAGCGCAAGTACGTCCGGCGCAGGACGCTGCTCCCGCACCTGCGCCGCATCGCATACCACGCCCCCCCCCCTGTATCCCATCCCACGCGCGGCGCCTGCGTCCGAACGCAGCACCCTCGACAACCTCCACCCCAACGCTAACGCCAACGCCGAGGCGAGAGGAAGGGAAGGGAAGGGAAGGGAAGGAAGGGAGGAGAGGAGAGGAGAGGACGAGGTGCACCACGCGAGGTAGGAGCTGAAGCCTTGCGGCAGACTGCTATCCGCCAGCTACCGACGCCATTGCAACATGTACAACACTAGATCTACTTTTGAAACATTCACATGAAATATTTGTCAAATACATCTTGTGATCTTGTCGGTGTCTTGGACCGAGGGGTCATCAACCAACTAGTGAATTTGAACTGCGTGCCCCTAATCCCGGATGGTGATGCAAAGAGACACAAGATTTATACTGGTTCAGGCAATAGATGCCCTACGTCCAGTCCGAGAGAACGATCTTGTATTCCTTGCACCGAGGTGCTCGTAGTAGGGGTTTACAAGCAAGGCGAGAGAGGGAGCTAGTCCCAGGTCTCTGCGTGGAATGGCGTGGGCTGCTTGAGACGTTGCTCTCAGGCAGCGGGGGAGCATGTGTGGGTTGAGTGAGTGCATTTTGCGCGTGAGTGCGAGCGCGGTTTCGATCTGTTCTCTCGATGCCTAGAAGCGGCCCCGGTCACTCCCTTTTATAGTCGAAGGAAGGCACGGGGACGGTACATGGATTGCTACGTGGCGTTTTGTGAGCGGAGGTGACGTGCTGAGCCCTGTAGCTTGTCACTGTGGCGGCATGGTCAATGAAGCGGTCTTGTCCTTGGTGCACTGGAGCGGCGTGCCGGTCATGCCTGGTCCTGTGAGACGTGGGAGCTCCTGCGGTGGCAGGCGCGTCTTCCTCTGCCGGAGGCGTGCTGGTTGCTGCATGTTTGACTAGCGCGGAGTGCCGAGGCCGGGCTGACGCGATGGTGCGGGCGTGCTGACTCCGAGGATACAGGAGCTTGGCCCTGTGCGTAACGTGGGTGCCGCTTGGCGCAGGGTACGGTGCGTACTGCAGACGACGTGTCGGTCGCTGTGTGTCGACAGCGTAAAGAGCCGAGGCTCAGTTGGTGTCGAGGCCGAGCCATCGTGGGGGGCTCGGCGGGCGCGAATCCCAAGGCCGCCGAGACCCTGAAGCGGATTGCCGAGGCTCGGAGGGAGCAGTTGGTCCTGTACACTGATTTCGAGGCTACAGGGACCCGGACCTGACTCTCCACGCCGCGCTGTCCTCGGAGCAGGAGTTAGGTAGCACAGTGCAGTACGGGCGTCAGTCATGGGCACAGTGCCCAGCACAGCGGCCGGTAACCCCTACCCAGTCCTGTCCCTGACTGCATGGCGTCGATGTGACTCCCATCCCGTCGGCCACTCCGCTGTACTGTGCCGCCGCGCGGCTGGCGTTGCGGGAGTGGTTGGACGCGTTAATTGGACGTGACGTTTTGTCAGAGAAGTCGGTCGAGACCGCGGTGACGGGGTCGTTGCCGAGCCGGCCTCAAGCGAGGCGGAGAATCGGTACTTCGTCCGAGGCCTTACGGCGCGGGGCCTCGGGCGAGGGGGCCTCGGCACCTCGTCAGAGGCTGTGCGGCGCGGGCCTCGGGCGAATCGGAGAATCGGCCGAGGCCTCGTCGTTGTTTCTTGGCTTTGATATTTACAAGGGCTAAGCAATTTTTTCGGTTCTCGCTTAGGGTACCCCTTTTTATGGTATCCGACACATCTGTAGACAGATAAAACATTTGAACATGCGTCTAATACACTTGTAAAACACATGAAAAGTCATTGTAAAACATATGCAACATCTAGATAAAACACTTGCAACATATGTGTGAAACATATGTAACATCCAAATAAACACATTTGCAACATAGTCTAAAAAACAGATGAAACATTTGAAACATACACTTACAACAAACGTGTATGGCAATTGCAACATGTGCAACATCCTGATCTACTTTTGCAACATACAAATGAAACATCTGAAACACTTGAAACATACGCTTGCGTCATGCGCTTTCAGCGCAGTGTCACCTTGCAGCTTGGAGGAATAGAGGCTCGTCGTTGCGGAGGTCGACGGCGACGCAAAGAGCTCGTCGGTGCGGCAGCGGTGCAGGCAACTCGCCAACGGGGCGGCATCATATGAAGCTCCTCCATCGACCAGGGGAACGGCGATGTTGGCAGCACCTCGACGCGGCGGGGGACGGAGCACGGCGCACAGCGGCAGGGGACGGGGCACGGCGCAGCGAGGCGGAGGCGCGCGGCGCAACGCGGAACGGGGGCGCCGCGTGGCGGCGAGGTGGCTTAGGGCGGGCGAACGACGCGGTGAGCCACAACAAGCGAAGCGGGTGGGGAGTTGGAGATTTATGTCGGTACCGTCGCAGTGTAGAGATGGAGGAGAGAGTGTAGATGGAGCAGATCTGTTGTTGGTTGGGCCCGGTCGCTGCGTAGCCCAAAAATAGGGCGTTCGAACGGACACGCCCGGATAGACGTCATCACCAGAGCATTAGTGGTTTTTAAACGAGCTAGCAGAAGAGTTATCGTATATCTAGGTGCATAACAAAAATTATGTCTACAAAATTCAAAACGTACCTATAATTGAGAACCGAGGGACGCCCTGTTCGCTTGGCTTATAAGCCGTACTTTTTCAGTCAATGAACAATATTTTCCTCTCACAACAAATCAGCCAACAGTACTTTCGGTATGGCTTATCAGCCAAGCGAACCTAGCAGGAGTACACTCGTGTCCGGTTCGATCAAACATTATTAAACAAACTAATATTAAATTATTAATTGGAAAACTACTCCACGCCGCAGAAACAAAAAGATGATCGGCACTGTGTTCCAACCGGCCGGACCCGATAATTAGCGGCGAAGAAAACTGACACTTCGTACTTGTGTGAGCCCCGTCATCGTTTCGTTTCTGTAGAAGGTCGAGCAACTTAGGGCGTGTTTGTGGTGTCCCGGATGCAGCCAGCCTTGCACGCCCACGTACGCGAACAGCTTGTTTGGTTTCCTGGACCTCGAGCTCGGCCTGGTTGCGCGCATGCAAAAGGACGCCCGGAGCCTGGCTGCCGAGGAACGCAGCTGAGGTCCGTTTCTACTCAGCCTGGCTGGCCCGAGACAGCAGCTTGCGTGCGCATGTGTGTTTGGGTCATGGTTTGCTTCTAGTCCAGCTGACCAAACAAACTCCCTACCTAGCCTAGTCACATACATGCAGTAAACCAAAAAACTAGCACCTGAATGCACTTGACCTGTCCCAATCTAGCCTGGCTGGTGGATGCGAAGCAGGCTCTCCAGAGAAGTGAACCAATCACGCCCTTCTCACTGCCGGCATTTGTACACGAGTCACGAGCCACGGCCCACGGGCCACCGGTCTTGCCGTGGAGGCGCCGACGAGCGAGATTCTTGGCCACCTCTTCGCCATCAGCTCCGCATTCCACTACGGGCAGTGCAATCCTCGTGCAAAGTCAGCCGCACGAACACGAACGATACGGGCATACGGCCCTGCGCATGCTCGCTCGACGCTCGGGTACGGTGCTCAGGTTTGCGGTTCCCATTGCCGACGTTCGCCGGCCCGGGGAGAAGGGGGACTTGATTAATCCGAGCTGACGAACCAAGACCGGTTTGGTTATTAACTTGTTATATATCGTGTCACGCACGCGCATCCAACCACGAAAGAACTAATCAGTAATCATGCACAGAGCAGAATAACTTGATGGCGACGACAGTCTATACATTAGATATAGGAGTATGTAACTACTGCTGCAAGATACGGTTAATCACGGCACGAGCAATGGCGCGTACGTCTGCTCCTGCACATACACATGCACACGTCAGCGCGTGCACGGCAAGCGAGAGCGCGCGCGTCACGCGTAGATGACGTAGCGCAGGCTCTCGCGCACCATGAGGTGTCCGACCTCGTCGGGCGCGCGCGCCGGGCGCCACCCGCTCGCCGCCGCCCACGCCTCCTCCGCGCCGCGGCCGCCCTCGCCGTCCAGACGGACGGCGCCCCGCGCCATCGCCATGACCGCCCTGGCCAGCTGGGCGCCGGGCGCGTGCGCGGGCGCAGCGCGCGCCGCCACGTCGCCGGCGTCCGGAACTTCGCCGAGCGCGCTCTCGTGCACCACCCGCGCGGTCGTCCGCCGCCTCGGCCGGCGCCGCAGGCCTTGCCGCACCAGCGACAGCACGCCGACACACATAGCCAGGTCACAAGAGAACTGGAGTACTGCCAAAGAAGAGAAGCCAACCTCTCACTCCTTGGTGCCGCTAGCTACTTCTTTCTTCTCTGCTCCGAGGTCACGCGCCCTCCTCCAGGCGGCTCCAGCTCAACTGCTCAAATGGCAGGAACAACTACGTACTCTTCTCTTGTCATCTTGTGAGTTAGCAGCAGCTAGCTTCTTGCAGAGCCCGATCAAAGCCATGTCTCGTTTATATACACGAGATTGGCCTCGCTTCTAAGCTAATGCATGCAACTTGCAACAAGGTTAAACGGACTTGGACAGAGTCCTTTTTTCTCACAAAGGCGAGAGGCACCAGGCCTGGTGGTGGTGGACTGGTGGGGAAGTGGGGAGGGACAGGCACTCGCGAACGCTGAAAAGGTTAGTGGAGGGTTGGTCATCACAGCCGAAAACAACTGCACGCCTGGTTATCTAGCTCATCTCGGTCCCTGATTAACTGGTCAGGCGATCTTTTCTTAAAAAAAAATCAGACTGTTTCTTCTGTAATTGCGCTGCATGTGCAGCTATGTTCTCCTACAAAGCAACGGGTTTGACTTCGCAGTTGGCACGATTGTATCGGGGCGTCCTTAATCTTGTCACTGGTGCAAAACTTGTCAGAGTGCTAATGCACTGAACAAGTCGGCAAGTTCACAGTAGGTACTGCCTCCCAGCTGCAACTTACGGTAAAAGCTAGGAATAAGCCCGTAGAAAGGCATGTGCCTTTTGCATATTGGCACGGCGTCGCAACTACGGAGTAGCAACGAAACCAGTGCATTGCTGCTGCCACTGCGGTCCTGGATGCGATCTGGTGGTTCTCCCTCGGAGAGAAGAGGATTTGGTTGGGGGTTCACGGGCTGCATGATCATGCTCTTTTGGAAAGTGGATTCTGAACTTGTGGACGCTGGTGGATTGTGGCTGCGAGCTCTTGACATCAGGTGGCTGCTACTGCTAGGCAGCACTTGGGTTGATTGGAGATTTGGAGGTCAATGCTAGCACGAACAGTGGCTAAGAAGGTGGATGGCAACACAAACACGTAGCATGTGTCCCATCTCTCGTAAATGCGCGATGAATTTAGAGCATGTTTAGATACATCATACATGCTCCTTCCGATGACCATGTTTAGAGTCAAACGTTTTTAACATTTATCAAATATATACAAAAAAATATTAATATTTATGGTACATAATTATAGTATAATTAGATGGGATTGTTGAATCTATTTTCATAATAAACTTATTTGGAGATACAAATATTGCTAATATTTTTATAAATTTAGTCAAACTTAAGAACATAGGCCTAATTGTCAGTCAACCAATTTTTAACTCGAGCTCATTCAAACAGAGGGCAAATAAATGGGCTAACTTTTTAGCCTAACTAAACCAACTAATTTTTAACTCCAGCACATCCAAATAGTGTAATATGACTTTGACTGTGCCGTGAATGACCCGCACAACTACTTACATATTTGAGTTCCTGACTCTCAATAGGCTTTCTCCCTGCATGTCAACGCTTAAAATTTGTGCCCGGTCATACTGTTTATCATCAGCCTGTTCGGTAGGTCGTATCGTATCGTGGATTATTTACTGTTGGCTGGTTTGGTGTGAGAGAAAAACACTGTTTTCCGACTGGAAATTTACGATCGTTTACGAGCAAGCGAACATGCTGCATACTGTTTAGGAACATCAATCCTGCGACAAACTTTGCAATGGATAAGACTGGTGGTTCGAGGGTTTTGACGAAATATCATCAATGCAAAATTTACGGTGGAGTCATGCTACGAAGCGAAATTTACTACCACATATACCATTATGCCTCTTTGATGACGAGGTGTTTTCAATCCGGTTCAAGGGAGGTTTCCTGTTGGTCTGAATTTTACCATGACGGTCAACAATGCAAAGGGGCACACTATACCTAATGCTACTGTGTATTTACCTAGACCATTGTTGTCTCATGGTCAGTTTGTACCACTTGTCATCCCAGCCGATGATAAGGAGAAAAAAACACAATGATTAATAGTTCATACACAGAAAAAATTATCTACAGAGAGATCCTAACACCATAAAAAGATATTGTCTTCTATTCAATAAATGCTTTATCATACATGTCGTTTGCTATTTATATTTGTCTTATGCATTTGCATATGGTAAGACCGTCTCCAACCGATGACTCATATGGACACCAAAACCCAAAATGTGTCTTAGATAGGATTGTATCAGCCTCCAACATAGTATCTATATGCGAGACCTATTTTGTGTTGCAGCAGAGGTACAACCCAAATATGAGTATCTTCTCTCCTGGAGACTCATTTTCAAAAAGGGTTCTCTTTTGGGTCCTGTTGTTGGAGAAGACAAAAAATGGGTATTGAACCATTTGCATGTAGCACTACCCAAACGTGAAATGAGTCTTGTATTTTGGGTGATGTTGTTGAGATAGTCTTAGATGTCCTAGAACAATGGAGCTGCTACTAAGTTAATGTACTCGTTGTAGTATAATATAGTATATAATTTCATTATACTATGCATGATTGAATGAATGTTTATTTGTCACGTGATATTTTTATTTCTAATAATGTTTCCTTGCTTTTAAGGTTAATGGTTAGCAGTACTTCATTTTTTTTCGCGTGAATAGATTGGACTTTGGTGGTACTCCAATAAACTTCTGTTTCGTGAATAGAACAGACTTTGGTATTGGCTCGCTATAAAAAGAAAAAAGTATTACACAAGTATGAAGAATGATCATGTCAAGAAAAAGGTAACGAACCATGTTATGGCAAGGAAAGTATAACAAACAAATACGAATAATGTTATGTCATGGAATTCTGTGTATATTACGTAGCAACGCACGGTCAAGCTATATGTGTTCCTGTAGCTAGTTTTCTTAAAGCCAACGATTTTTGGTTTCGCACAAAATGAGTTTCGTTTTTTTCGCGGTGTGGTTTCTTTTGGTCTTGTCGGGGCGGACGGGCTGGATCGTTTACACGTCCAGGCGTGTCTAGACCGTGGCCCGCGGGAAACAATTGCACGTGTCCTTGATGAGCCCTGCATGCTGCATAGATGCATTGGCCCCTGACGGCCCGCTAAACTAAGCAAAGCCCAACTCCGGAACCGCCGGCCTGGCCTGACAAATCTCTTTTGCCACAGCCCAAGGCACTGCCAGTTATCAAACCGGGGGAGCCCGCTGGCCCGTGACCGGACCCGCCCGGATGCCGCCGTACGCGCGTGCGCCGCATCAGTTCGTCCAGGGATCAGGCCCAAAATTGCACGAGAGAACCTCACCAAAGCAAGCAACCTCCCTTCTCTCCCCACACACGCACGGCCGCACCGCACAAGGGACCGTCCCCGCGACGGTCCAGACTCCAGACGCCGCTCGCGTTCGGGTGCGCCCTTCCCCGCCGTATCCATCCGCCCACACCCTCCCTCCCCGCCGCTTCCGCCTCGTACGAGACCGTACGACGCGGCCACGTTCGCCGCCTCAAACTGTGGCTGGGGCGGCGGGAGGGGCGGCGGCATCGAGCAAGCTAGGGTTCCCCAATGGACGGCGGCGAGGATCGAACGTTCAAGGCGAACTTTACCGGCGAGGGGGTGACGATGCTGCAGGACCGCGTCAAGGAGAAGCTCAGGGAGCTCATGGGCGACTACTCCGACGACACCCTTGCCGTGAGCGCGCCGCCCCCCCCTCTTCTTCCCTCTCCCACTCCCACACGGCGGCGCGATACCCGATCCGTTGCTAAAACCCTAGCGTCGCACATGCCATCTGTGGAATGCGGTTCCGTAGCGGGCGGCGGGCGGCGCGCGGCTCTCTGGATTTTGCGGAATCTCGTTTCGAATCGGATATTGGGTTATTGCTTTCCTTTAGGATCGTAGACTGGGGGCATGTTATGGGGTTTAGCGTGGTTCATACGCTCTCGAGATTGGAGGCACACGATCCCCCACCCCACGTTTTAGATATTGGTTGGATTGTGTAGTGGGGATAGCTGGCATTTGGCTGCCTATGCAATCAGCTACGCAGTGATTTTGAAGGAAGCGTGTTTGGATTGTTGTTCACCTTTTAGCATCTCTGGTGTGTCCGGAGTGGAGGTTAAAGTACCTGGTTGCTTTCTTTTAGTTTTCAATATTGTGATGGACAATTTATATTGTTGGTATTAGGGTTGTTCTTTTCTTGCTGTGGCAAATCCATAACCCATTATTATTGATTATCTATCTATATCTTGTTGATGCTCAGGAGTATGTTGTAGTGCTGCTAAGAAATGGGAGGCGCAAGGATGAGGCTGCCAAGGAGCTACAGGTTTTTTTAGGCGATGACAATGATGCATTTGTATCCTGGTTATCTTCGTTCACCTTAACCTTTCCTGTTTCATTTTCTTTTCATGTACCATGCATTTCCTCTGACAACACTATGAATTTATGTACAATCTTGCAGGTTATGGGATCATCTGTCCTCAAATTTGCACCTATATGTTCAGCCTAAAGCTGCCTCTTCTAAAGATGATGCTAGAAGCACTCGCAGTGCTGCCAGAGGATTGCCTGTTCACAGTGTGACAAGCAGCATACAAGTGAATCATGAACCTGAAGCTGAAACCCAGAAGACAGTAGTAACCCATCAAAAAAGAGATTGGGGTAATCAAAAAAGAGATTGGGGAACAATTGGTCAAGGTCAATCAGAAGCAGTTCCTCTTAGAAGCGTTGTAGCCAATGTTTCTCATGCAGAGGAAAAAGATTTTCATGAATCACATGCAGATGAAAGGGCTTATCATAAATCACATTCTGTAAGACGAACCCGCTCTCCTGACATGCATAACCACAGAAAGAGGAGCAGAGACGCAGATGTGCGGTTTACCAAGGTTTCTAATCCTCTTTAGTTCATGCTTGTTATTTTGCATATCTGAGCAACATTCACAGTATCTCCCATTTCTTCTTTTTGTATATGCATTTGCTAAATGCTATTTGTCTTTCATAACAGATGGTCTCATACGAAAACATATGAATATGCCTAGCTTTATGTCTCTTACTCTCTTATAGTCTTCATGAATATGCTAAATTCTTGTAGTGTAATAGATTTCTATTTCTGTGTCAATATTACTGTGTACATATGGAACAGAGTGCATTTCCCTGTTCACGCCACATGTAGTCCGTTTGGGTTTTATAACTAGAAAAACATTATGTTTTCATCTCTGGTGAAGCCATAAATAAAACCTTGGGGGTAACTTATACAAGTCATTGCATTCTGTTAAGTGGCAGTAGCATTATCTGCATTTTCCCTTTCTGTGTGTCTGCCCCAATATAATTTGAATGTTCCACTGTTTTGCTTTTCATGATTGTTAGTATAGTATATTATGAAAAAATTGTAGTTTGTCCCAATAATGGAAATCCTATAACCTGATTATAACATACACACCAGATTGTGCAAGTCTAAAGGAAAGGGTGAAAGCTCATCACATTGTCCTAATAAAGGCAGTACATGGTCAGGTTACAAAGTTCAAGCTACAAGTTTTAGGTCCTACTAGCAAGAAGATAACAGCTACCATTGTTGATATGCAACCTCTGTTCCATTTTATAGCATGCGCTTTCTCTAGTCACAAATAAATGATATTTTGGGTTGTCTTAAGTCAGCCATTTCAATCTTTGGTTGTGTTCTACTTTTTATGGGTTGAGTTTGGATAGTTAAAAATGGTATGAGTAGATTTGTCTTGAAATGTAGTTTCGTAAGATTACTCTTTTACTCTGTTTTATTTATGACTGTCTTATGATAAAATGTACTAGTGAAAGTTGAGTTTTGAAGATCGTGTAAATGTCCAAAATCACTTATTTGTGTCTGGAGGGAGTATTTTGGAACCCTCTATCTAAACTATGCAAGTAGATGCTTAACATCCTCAACATTTGAATCTAGATTGATGTCAAAACTGACTATTACCACAAATGGTAATTCTGCCATTCTGGTCACGTTAGAAACTGTTTCCATGTCGATATGCAGTCATGTGGGGGGTTAGGTGTTCATAAGAGGTGAGGATAATCTGTGAATCAAATATTTATATATTCGAGAAATCTACAAAAGAGTGATTGACTATAGTGCTTGGCCAACTTTAAGAAAAATATGGTTCAATGGTTGTGTGCTTTATCTTCTTTATTTCTCACTCTGTTTTAAATTACGTGATGTTTAGGAAAAGCTATTACTTTATTTTTTTATGAACTAATTAGCTTGTCCTCAACTACATATATTTTAAAAGCTCTGTAAGTTCTCTCAATAGAAGTAACTTTTTTTTCTGCCCAGTCCTTTTTGTTTGTTGTTTGTGATAATATTTTAATGTCTTTCGAAATATGGTTGTGTGCTTTATCTTGTTCATTATTATACCATTACTGATGTGATCTATGAACTGCTGTAAGATCTCTCAATGGAACTGACTTCCTTATTTCCCCTGCCTTTTCCTTGTTCTTTTTCTTATAATACTTTTTACACTTTTCCAGAGGGCATCTCATCCAGTTGTTGGTGCACCACGTCGGCTTCTTCAGTTTGCTGTTCGTGATGCTGTCAGAACTGTGCAGCCAGTTACTTCTAGTTCAGAACCAGCTTCCAAGCGACTTCGTTCTGTAGTGTCTACATTGGGGTCAGATTCCACACTTGATATTACTCATATTAGGTTACAGAAAACAAATTCAGATTTGAGAATACCAGGTGCCACAGCAGCACTAAGAGCTGCAGCTGAGGCTGCTGAAGATGCTCTCAAGGATAGCTTTTCTGGAAGTGTTTTTAGTAGATTGGGCAGAATGCCCAAAATAAATTCTACTGAACAATCACCTGCTCATAGAGAAGAAGATCTTGAAGGCAATGAATATGAGAATATAGATAACATACAAGCAGAAAATCAAGTTGAATTTTATGAAAGAAATCAACATGGTGGCAGCGATGTTTACATGCGTGATCGGAGAACAGAGGAAGCTACAGGTTCTATTCCCAATATTGATGAGTATGATCACAACAGTGCAATTAGGTGTAATGGATTGGGTTCTCGCCGAAGTGCATTGCCTGCTAGTGGAGGTAAAGAGTCATTAGTACTGGGGTATGTAAGAGGAGCTTCTGAAGTAAGAAGCAGAAGATTGATAGCTCAGGGGCCACATGCTGGTTCAGGACGAAGACCATCTGAAAAGATCCTAAATGTTTCTGGTAACACTAACACACAGAAGTTTCCAACTCATGCAACTAGGGATGCCATTGCATTTGACCCTCAAGTGCCAATGGAGAAGGTTGCTGATGCAAGGAAAGCACATGTGAAGATTGCACATGCTAATGATATGTCCACGATGACTGATAAGTCCAAAGTAAGTTTTTTTATCTGTATTTTCCAACGGCTATGCGATTTACTGTAAAATTAGCAACTATTTCATTTCATCATATGTTCAGTGATTAGAGGTGTTGTCATCCCTAAATTTAATGTTGAGTAAAATGCACCAAAGGTACAAGAACTAGTAAAGTAGCGAGGTGGGTAAACTTATAGAACTTGAAATGTGCTAAAATTTGTCAGGAAATTTCTTTAAATTATGCATGATAGGTCAAAATCGGAAACCATGTCATGTCTGTGTGCACGTAGCACTAGTTTGCCAGCCACTACATTTACACCATCTTCCTCTGGAATTTAACGTACAAAACACAGATAATCAGAATAATGATATGCAAGATTCTATCTAGCACCATGAGCAAAACATTCAAACCATCTAAGTGTCTACTAGCTAGAGAATTATAACCAGAGTGGAACAAAGCTAGCGCATGCTCCTTTTTTTGTCAGATTTTTTACCTACACGAACCATTTAAACAGGTTAAAGGAAGTTACCCACCACATGTACCCACCTCATAAGTTGTACCTGTGGTGTCATTTACTCTTTAATGTTTCAAGTCAATGCATCCAGACCAGCATACCATGCCATGCCAATCGACACAAAAATCATCAAAACACCTAGCAGAGAGTCCAAAATTCAATTCATGGAACTCGTCAGTTAAAAGTATGTTGAGGTCAGTAGTCAGTAATTCTCATCAGTTTGTCGGACTGCAATACACTTGCATCTGGCAAGGACTGCATCAAATTTTGAACTATAGCCTTGTATCTTATTCATGCTCTTCTTTCATTTTTACTGTCTATAAATGTTCATTTTGTGATGCTGCATTTTATTTTCTGGGTGATTTGTGATTCATCGATTCTATTTTTTAAAATACAATCCAGGATTTGATACAGCCAAGTTCAATGCTGGAGGCACAGAAGGCTTCATCAGGTGGTATGCAAAACTGCTTGCTTTATGAGTGATAACTGATTTAGTTGGTTTACCTTGGGCAGATATGTTTGGAAAGCAGTCCTTTTATACCTTTTTTTGCCTATGATGGCAGTGCTTTGATTTGTGTTTCCTGTTGTGCTTGATATCAATTAAAAAAATCTAGTAGGAATTTGGAAGGGCTAGTTACGAGTTATCCAATATCATTGGAAAACTACTATTAACCGACTTTTAGTGATATTGGTCTAGGCTATCAGTTTTCCTGCAATTTGTTTCGATAGGCACTTGTTTTTTCATGAACACTCTTTTTGTATACTAGATGATGAAAATTTTTGCAGAGATTTGGCATCTGCTTAATATTCTGGTGCATTAGGCTTTGATATGAGGACCAAAAAATATATTTTTTTTCCTTTAAAGGGTCACTATTGTAACATCACTTGACCCATCCATCTTTTCAACCCTGTTAAACTACTAAATTTTTCATGTTTCTTTGCTTTTCAATCCCCCCTTTATGATTAAAGGAAGTTTTTGTTCTTTTTTCCCTTTATAGCTGCTGGATCAAATACTACAGGTCAACCCGAAGGTGGCCCTGATTCTAGAACTGTCTTTGTTAGCAATGTAAGTGTTCCTCTGCTTTTCCCGTTATGTTCATATAGCTGAAGACTTGGATTTTACTAGTTTTTCTGTTTCTTTTAGGTACATTTTGGTGCATCAAAAGATGCTCTTTCTCGTCACTTCAATAAGTTTGGGGCGGTCTTAAAGACCCATATTGTGACCGATGGTGTCACTGGTCAGTCAACTGGGTATGAATTCTAAGTCTTATATGAAATTCTGAAAAAAAAATAGCTTTGTTAGATTATAGTCTCAGTTTTTTCCATCTTTTGATTGATCAGCTCAGCGTATATTGAGTTTTTGCACAAAGAATCAGCAGAGCAGGCGTTGACCCTGAACGGGACATCATTTATGTCACGCATTTTGAAGGTAATATTACCTTGGCCTAACTTCTTTTGTAATTGTACAGTAAGGTTTTTTCTATGGACTTTTATGGATTGCTACACATGTGACATGGCCTAGCTGCTTTGTTAAGATTTTGCTGTACTTTCTACGGTTGAAGATGTTATCATGTCTAGGGATGTCATTAGTGGAGTTGCTTCAAGCGCGCGCACAATTAATTTTGAGTTGTGTATTGTGTTTTCTATTATTCATTAGATGGTAGCACAAAAATGTGCCAGTAGCATTTATTACCTTTTCATATATTGGTAAAATAAAATTATGACAAGAGAAGTTATACTCAGGAAGTATATGTTGTTGATTTTGTGCTTTTGAGCATTCTTTCTGATCGATTCTCAGCATCTAGATCTTAGAAGTACTCCAATCATCTTTGACGCAGGTCGTTCGGAAAAGCTCCACTGAAGCAACCCAATTGCCTGGCTTGCCCCGTGCTTCTTGGGGATCACCATTTGCTTCAAGGCTCATTAGAACTGCATACCCAAGGCCGATGTTTCCTGGTGCAATCCGTGGACGATTGCCACTCAGGGGTGTTGCCCGGAGTTTACAGTGGAAGCGCGGTGCTGCTGATTCCGCAGATGCTGGAAAACCTAGTCAAACTGCACCTGCAGCTCCTGGCAATCAGTCGATCACCCCGACCACAAGAAGCTTCACCTACACACGCACGGAGCCAAAACCAAATGACGGTGCGATGGCATGACTGCTCAGCTGCAGCATGCCGCAGCTCCTGATGAATCTCGCAGAAAGAGCTCGTGATTGATGACTGTTTCCTAGTTCATTCAGCTGCTTTTGGTAAATATTTAAGTAGCTGCAGATGTTAGTTTGTAGCAGGCTGTTTTTTTGTGGACCACAACCTTTGAGCAATATTCTGTGAGAGGTTTTCTGTGCTGTTTTTTCACCATCGGCACACATGCTGTGCTGGCTGGCTGTTCGGACTTCGGAGTTCGCGGATGGAGAGTAAAATATATAAGTAGTAGCAGTAAAGGAAAAGGACGAACGCGATAGGAACGTTGCAACATTTGTTATTATTTATTGATGGATTATTTAGTCTCCACGGTTTCCTTGTCAAGTGGTGTGTGTGATCAGTGATCATATTCAAACCCATAGTTTTAGTAACGAGCTTATACTTGTTTCTACATGAGGGTAGCTTTCTTGTCTCAGTTTTGTAAATAGAAACCTTTAGAGATCTCAAACCTTTACCTGTGAGGTTTGGTTGTCTACTGCACGTCTGCACATCAGCAAATGTTTGTGCGTGTTTCTACTCAAATGCTTTTTTAGCAGCCACTTGTGTAGAAAACTGGCGACCTGTCTGTCCTGGGTGTCTGCTGTACTGTACATGTTTTCTCTGAGAGAAGTGCATTTTGTCATGGAATCAGCGGAACTCACGGGTTGCTAAAATCCAAGGACTGCTCGCATTGACCATTGAGCCATGAAAGTCAGGTGACAGGAGAACCGGAAGACAAGGACAGCACCTCTGTGGGCTGTGGGCTGTGGGCTGTGGCAGCCCCCTCATCTATTACTGTCCGCCCTCCGTATCTGCTTGCTGATTTCTTGTGCAGTATTTCTTTGTTTGTTTTGTTTCGATTTGTGGATGGAGCAAAAACAATACCCGTGACATTAGCCGCTGGCGCTGAGGATTAAAATATCAACCAGGGCGGTTGTTCTACTGATTGTTTCTGGGTGCATTTGTCTGGCTAACTCTTCACTATGATTGTACGGTAAATTTTCATTGGAAAGCTATCTCATCCGATGTTCCCAGCAAAGCATGTCTTTTTTTTTTCCACCTTTACATCATAGGTTGTTGTGGAGTAGCGTTCTTAGATTATAGCAGGGAACAATGGTAACGAGTAACAATGATCACTCACACTGTAACGAGTAACAATGATCGATCACTCACTCTGTAACGAGTAACAATGATCACTCACTCTGTAACGAGTAACAATGATCACTCACTCACTCTGTAACTACTCTGCTATCCAGCCAAAGGCCGTGGGAGTTGTGACGCCATTGACATGTATCCTTCACCCAGACTCACACCTTCCGCTGGGAGCAGAGTTGTTGTTTCTGCAGCCACGTCCGGGGGAATGGATACTACCTGAACGTCACGTCGCCTCCAACACGCAGGACAAAGGCGCCACTCCAAGTCCAAAAGTGACAGTGCCATCATCGCAAAGTCCAAACGAAATAATGCAAAAGGCGAGAGCTCGCCGGCAGAATGTACTGCAATCCTGCAGGCGATGATATGTTTACTCCACTACTAGGGACAGTACTACTACTACCCAACCACCCTGAGTCTACTCGTGCAATGACCAGACGTGCTGAGTGGTGAATGATTTATTATTTTCAGTTGAGCGAAAGCGAATGATGAGTGAGTGAAGAGTGCGTTCCTGTTGCTTTTGGCCGGCGCACAAAACAATCGACGGCAGCTCGATCGCACACTCCACACTCCACTCACGAGCTTCGATCCTCGTCCATGGCAGCCGCCGCCGCCGCCACCTGCCTCCCTCTCTTCCTCCTCCTCCTTTCACTACTGATCGCTGCCTCAACCTCGCCGTCTTCGGCAGCCGCACCATCAGCGGCAGAGACGCCGCAAGAGCTCCTGCTCGACTTCAAGGCGTCCCTGCAGGACCCATCGGGCGCGCTCTCCTCCTGGTCGCGCGCCACGCCCTACTGCAACTGGCCGCACGTCACCTGCGCCAGCACCACCGCCGCCGCGAACGCGACCGTCTCCGTCTCCCTCTCCCTGCAGGGCCTCGGCCTCTCCGGCGAGCTGTCCGCCGCCTCGCTCTGCCGCGTGCCGGGCCTCGTCGCGCTGAGCCTCGCGTCCAACGGCTTCAACCAGACCATCCCGCTGGAGCTGTCGCGGTGCGCCTCGCTGGCCGCGCTCAACCTCAGCGCGGGCGCCTTCTGGGGCCCGCTCCCCGAGCAGCTCGCGCTGCTCACCTCGCTCGTGTCGCTCGACCTCAGCCGCAACAGCATCGAGGGGCAGGTGCCCGCCGGCCTCGCCGCGCTCGGCGGCGGCCTCCAGGTGCTCGACCTCGGGGGCAACCTGCTCTCCGGCGTGCTCCACCCGGCGCTGCTCCGCAACCTCACCGGCCTGCACCTCCTGGACCTGTCCAGGAACCAGTTCCTCGAGTCCGAGCTGCCGCGGGAGATCGGCGAGATGAGCAGCCTCAGGTGGCTGTTCCTGCAGGGCTCGGGGTTCAGCGGCGTCATCCCGGAATCCTTCCTCGGCCTGGAGCAGCTGGAGGTTCTCGATCTGTCCATGAACAACCTGGCCGGAGTCGTGCCTCCCGGGTTCGGCGGCAAATTTCAGAAGCTGATGACTCTGGATTTGTCACAGAACGGTCTGTCTGGGCCGTTCCCGGAGGAGATCGCTAGGTGTTCGATGCTTCGGAGGTTCGAGGTTCACGACAACGCCTTCACCGGGGAGCTCCCCGCCGGGCTCTGGTCGCTGCCGGACCTGCGCGTGATACGGGCCCAGAACAACCGGTTCACCGGCCGGTTACCCGAGTTCCCCAGCGGCCAGTCTCGGCTCGAGCAGGTTCAGGTTGACAACAACAGCTTCTCCGGCGGGATACCTCAGAGCATCGGCCAGGTCCGCACCATGTACCGCTTCTCCGCCTCCCTAAACGCGCTCAACGGCAGCTTGCCGGACAACCTCTGCGACTCCCCCGCGATGAGCATCATCAACATCTCCCGCAACGCGCTCTCCGGCACGATCCCGGTGTTCAAGAACTGCAGGAGGCTGGTGTCGCTGTACCTGGCCGGCAATGGCTTCACCGGGCCGATACCGGCGTCCCTCGGAGACTTGCAGGTGTTGACGTACATCGACCTGTCCAGCAACGCCCTCACCGGCGCCATTCCGACGGAGCTCCAGAACCTGAAGCTCGCCCTGCTGAACGTCTCGTACAACCAGCTCTTCGGCCGCGTGCCGCCATCTCTCATCTCCGAGCTTCCTGCCGTGTTCCTCCAGGGGAACCCGGGGCTGTGCGGCCCGGGACTGCCGAAAGACTGCGATGCGCCATCGCGGAAGCGTCAAGGACTGGCGGTGGCCGCAACAGTGGCGTCGTTTCTCACCGGCGTGGCGCTGCTCGCCGTCGGAGCATTTGCGGTCTGCAAGAGGTTACACGGCGGCGAGTCCTCCTCCTCCCCGTGGAAGCTTGTGCTCTTTCACCCTGTCAAGATCACCGGAGACGAACTGCTCGCTGGATTCCACGACAAGAACATCATCGGCAGGGGTGCCTTTGGAAGAGTTTACCTGATCGAGCTCCAAGACGGGCAAAACGTTGCGGTGAAGAGGCTGCTGAATTCATCAGGCAAGCTAACATTCAGAGTAGTCAAGAACGAGATGAAAGCGCTCGCGAAAATCCGGCACAAGAACATCGCCAAGATGCTGGGATTCTTCTACTCGGAGGGCGAGGTCAGCATCATATATGATTACTTGCAGAGTGGAAGCTTGCAGGATCTCATCTGCGCGCCGAAATTCACGATCTGCTGGAAGGACCGGATGAGGATCGCTCTGGGAGTAGCTCAAGGGCTGGCGCACCTTCACCATGATCATGCTCCTCAAGTGCTGCATAGAGACCTCAAGTCGAGCAATGTGCTGCTCGGTGATGAATTCGAGCCCAGGGTTACCGGATTTGGGATTGATCGTGTTGTCGGGGAGACGGCGTACCAGTCTTCCATGTCTTCGGATCTGAATTACATGTGCTACATTGCACCAGGTATGCTTTTTTGCAGTTCAGTTGATGCACTCAGATTGCAATGCTCGCACGTGCAGCTCCATATGCCAGAAGCATTTATTTATGTGTTTTTAGCTCAACATTTTGGCTTTGACTGAATGTATAAATAAACACGAAAGAAAACCAGCAGTAAACAGATTTCACTGAAGTTGTTCTGCTCCTTTTTTTTTTTCTGAAACCAGAGCAAAACTGCAGCAAGAAACCAACGCACCTCATGGACGTGTACAGCTTCGGGGTCATCCTACTGGAGCTGGTCACCGGAAAGCCAGCTGAGCAGCCGGCGTCCGACGACGGCTCCGTCGACATCGTCAAGTGGGTGCGGCGGCGGGCAAACGTGACTCACGGAGTGTCGCAGATACTTGACCCCAGCATCGCCAGCGCAGCGGCGCACGAGGGGATGCTGGCCACTCTCGAGCTCGCTCTGCGCTGCACGTCGGTGATGCCCGATCAGAGACCGGCCATGGATGAGGTTGCCCGGTCGCTGCAGGCACTATGTTTCAGCGTTCATCCACAGACGCCGCTGGAGCCATGAATGGCACTGGTAGCGGCGTAGCGCAAGGGTTCACAGCATCTATTCGTATTGCATAGCCCTTTCTTCTTGTATACATACATGGCAATAGGAAGTGAGGATGCAGGCATAATAAAGAGAAATAAAGGATCAGCGTGATCTCAAAGCATTTTCTGCAACAAGATTTAGATTAAAAAGAACCAGCGGGCACCCAAGGAACTGATAATACCAATTTCTGGCGGAATCATGAAACGAAAATACTCCTAGTTTTTAATAGGGGAGATAACAGTATAACTAAAAGCCATAAATAGATTCAAATAGTTTGCAGGCACCATGTACCTTGTGACTGACACTCGAGTATAAATAAAAGTGGCAGGTTCAGGCCACAAACATGACAAGTATAAATAAATACGGGCCTTGAATGTTTCAATACTTGCAGCAATCTGGTTAAGGATCTGATTATTTTACTCCCGTAGACCCTGGATTGCACTGTCGAGTGTCCACAACAGGTGCTGATTCAGAGTGCAATGAGAACTATTACAGGTAGGATAACACACTTGTAAAGGTATGCACACAAGGAAAGTTCACATTTTCATTACCATTAATATGCTTCTGCAGAATGAATGAATAGAAATGAACTTTTAATGGAAGGAACAAGACCAGCATTTGTTAGACGAATGCAGTTACATAATGGACATTTTATATCAGTCCATCACAAGGAATATATATGAATATGAATCTTGACAGAAAACAAAAACAAGACTTTGTATGCCATAATTATACATTGCAACATTAATAAACCCCAAAGCTTCTTTCTGCAACATCTTCCTTGAAGATTTTACCGAAGCACAATGAAAAACTAAGAGCGCTAGCAAAAGTTGCACAAGCTAGCAGGTTCGTTGACTTCATGTGAGTGACCTTTCAGAACTATAATATAATCCAACCTACCTTTAACGCAGCAAGTCACACTTACACTTCCTCGTCCAGTTGTTCATGTCCAGTATCAGATAGCAATTATAATTTATAAGCTTCCAATATCAGAAAGCAATTATAATAAGCTCGTCACAATGAAATAACAGTAAAGCATTGCCACCTGCCAGCGTATTTCCACTATAACATGTTTCCAAGAAAATATGCTAATGGATCCACAATTCTACATAAAAAAATGTTTTGGATGAAGGTGTTGCTACTTGCTTGTGTTTTGTCATAGTTTGTTCTCATGGTTGTATCAGGATCAAGAATACAAGCAAATGAAGTATGGTTAATCCAGGAAATCATCACCTTCTACTTAAACCATAGTAAGAATATGTTCAAACAAATAGGTAAAAAGAACCAGTGGAACATTTTGTTTAGGCAGCACAGAAACTGATAATAGAATTCAGTACATTACCAATGCCCAGATATTACATAATCCATCAAATTATTTCAACACAACATCATGAAAATTAATTAAACATAAAAAGGAGACAATAATTATTCGGTTACCTCAACAGTTCAGAGCATCTATCACAGCATAGCACTTGCTTCTTGCATATAGCAGTGCACTTGGTGTGTGTAAGCAAACAGAATATATAAAGAGAAATAAAGGATCAGTGCAATCTCAAAGCTTATTCTGCAACAAGATTTTTAGATAAAAAGAGAGAGCAAGCACCACAGAAACCAGTAATAAAATTCAGAACATTACCAACACCAAACATATTACATAATCCATTGAGTTATTTCAACACAACAACATGAAAATTGAGTATAGAAAGACAATAATTATTATCCGGTTACATCGAATAAGCATACAAACATTATAGAGGCTACAGGCAAGTAAACAAACTGAACATTATTTCAGGAAACAGGCTACACATGAGGAAGTTCCTCAGCCTTCTCTGCAAGATTTTGCTTCGCCTTGAAATCAAGCTCTGACTCCCAAGACCAAAGCAATAAACTCAATTTCCACCAAGATGCTTGGTGTTCCTCACTATGTCGCTGAGAAGTTCAGCGACGCAATCATTCTTCCATGTCTGCAAGATCTGCTCGTGCTCTTGCTCGAGTCTGATAAACTTTTCTTCCTCCACTGCTGCTGCTGACGCTAGTGTTGTAGCAGTTGTTGATGCTCATTACATCGCTCAAGAAGTACCAGCAGATTGTGCTATGCGGATGCCCAGGTAAAAAGCCAACCGGAGGAGCCCTGCACGGCGTGGACCTCCCAGATTCCATGTCAAAAACCATGCCTTGATCCCTACCACGCCCACCAATCCAGTATACACAGTTGCCCTTCAGTCCTGGCACACCCTCTGCATACATTGACACTGCATTGTTCCTTCCCACAAAAAGCGAGTGACCTCCCAGGTCCTTCACCACATCCCAGAAAGGCTGCCGTCGAGGATAGTACCTAAGCACCAATATCTCATTTTCCGCGACGCGACGCTGACCTCCTGCAGGCAGCTGCAGAGTAACAGTGCAGCTTGCGTTCCTCCAAACTTGGTACAGATTGCCCTCACAGAACACCAAGTTCTTCGCACTAGTGAACGACGACACAGTGTCATAAGGTGGAGCAAAGACAGTGGCAGGGTTGAATGGGAGGTTGGCCTCAGACAACAAGGGCTCAACAGTGGCTGGCGCATTTAGGTGCGGTCCTTGCGATTCAGGTGGAACTTTCTTATAGGATGGGATGAATGTCTCTGCACAGAACGTTACCCTCAGTGGAATAGTTGGATCCTGATCTCTTGTTCGGGCCTGTTCATAGCGCAACATCCGGAAATTGCGCTGATGTTGCCATCGCAGTGGGCGGAAATTGATGCGTTCAGTAGGCTGTGGTGGCTGGAGAACAGAGAACTCTGGCTCCGAGGGCCCTGCTTCATCGGCGTTGGCAGGCTTCCGGCGCCGGCGCTCAGGGAGACGGAGCACATGCACGTCCCCGCACTTGGTGAGGCAGTAGACCTTACCTTTGTCGGTGTAAACGACGTCGGTGAGCTGGTCCCCGCTGGTGAGGCGGACGGGTTCCATGATGGCCCACCTCCTGGCACCGGCGGTGACGTACGCGATCCGGTCGATGTCGCAGATTGCCGCGGCGGCGAAGTCGTCCTTGGCGGGACTCGGGGTGAAGACGACCTTGGAAACCCAGCGGCTCTCGTAGATGAGCGGCGGGAGGACGATCTCCACGGCGGCGATGGGGTTGAGGAGCACGAAGACGGTCTGGCCGCTGAAGAGGACGATGGAGAGCGCGAGCCAGCCGTTGCTGGAGCCGACGCAGCGGCTCCCCGAGACGATGGCGGTGAGCTCGAAGGACCTCCGCGTGGGGAGGGAGGCGGCGTAGGGGCACCAGCGGGCGTCGTCGGCGACCACGAGGAGCGCGGGCGACGGCGGCGCGAGCGCGCAGCGCCACGCCGTGCAGGCGCCCCGCGCGCTTGCATACCATTTGAGGTCGAGCCGGTCTCCGATGCGGCAGAGGAGATCTGGCGGCAGGTCAGCCCAGCGCCGGAACGGCGCCATGGCGACCGGCGGATTCGGGGTGCTAGGGTTTGGGGAGGACGGATGCAAGCGATTCCCCTGTTGGGGAATTTTACGATCCATTGTTTGGGGCTTCGGGTGGGGATTTTACGAAGGGGCCCTCTCGGTTCCGATGCGTTTGCGGAACGGTCCAAGAGAAGGAATGGGAACCGCTTTCCCAGGCAGATAGCCCAGCTGTGATCCTTAGCCCAATAAGGCCCAGTTCGGGAACGAGGTAAGAACTGTTTTTAGGGCTCGTTTAGTAGTTGTTTTGGATCCTAGAAACATTCTAGCTCTCCTTACAAACGTTTCTTGATCACATTCCTTAAAAACGTTTGCTAGGGATCTAAATTTGGATTTTTCTTGAAATAAAATTAGGAGGAGAATCAGAATCAGGCAAAACACCCTTTTGGTGATTCTCCCTTTAGTGTAAAAAATGAGAATCATTTCGGGTGATTATTGGTGAAACGTTTCACGTTTTAGCATGTTTGGCAGGTATTCTGGAGATTCAAGTGAGAATCTAAGGGCCAATTTGGTAGGGCTCCCAACCTAATTCCACTTATTCTAACTCCAGCTCCTCGCTGCTTGTCCTCCCTCGCGCTCCAAGCTCGAAGAGGCATCATTTGGTAGAGCTCTCACAACAACTTCAGTTCCTAATCCGGCAAAGGAAGAGGATGGCGAGCTGGATCTCAGCAATGGCAACTAGTAGGCTTGGTGGTGACGGCAAGCGCGGGCTTGGAGGCGACAGTGACGCCAAGCGTAGGTTCGAAGGCGACGATAGAAACGAGCTCGAATGTCACGGCGAGATCAAGAGGGCATCTCGACGGTGGTAGAGGTGGAGGAAAGTAGGCTTGATCTTGAAGACAGTGGCTAGATCTCGGCAAGCGACTAAAGTTGCTGTTTCCATTTTTATTGAATTTCAAGAAGACGACAGTGATAGTGGCCACGGGCTTGGAGGCCGATGATGACAAGTGCAGGCTCGAAGGCGATGGCGGGCGTGGGTCTCGGAGACCACAACGATGGTGGTGTGAGGGGAGGGACGAGGGGAGTGGAGTGGATCAGTGGGGAGTAGATTTTTTTCTTCTCCCCATCCACAGTGCAAAAATGATGGAGCAGTGGGAGATAGAGCAACGCGCGCGGGGGCGTTCATGGAGCACAGCGGTAGGAGTGGTGTCAAACTTGGCCTAAAATGATTTGGGCATCCAAACCCAAACCAGAAATGTTTATGGCATCCAAAATTCCAAACGCGCCCTGCAAACATATAGAAAAGCCACCATAGCACTGCAACGTACGTATGAAAAAGTGCTATGTGCGTGCACGGAGAAAAATGTTTGGGAAACTCACTTGCGACTTTGCTTCTCAAAGCTAGATGTATATGAAGTATATTGCATAGTAATAAAACAGTAAACAAGATTTTCCCCCTTTTTTAGGGTGGTGTTTTTTTTTCACGAGCGTGTCTTAGCGACATGTATTTCATTAAGCAGAAGCAGAGTTTGACTGGTTACAACATCCCTAGATAATCCATAGATTACCGTGAAAGGATG